GGCATTTACATGGTGCCTCACACCTGATGGACTGCCTTGTGTTCCGTCTTTGTTCCATGAGTGCACACTGGGCACAGAAGTCAAACTCATGAGCCTTTCTGCCTGGCCTGGGCTAGTGCAGCTCTGAGCTCACTATGTGCTAGAGCAAAGGACTTCTGGGGGAGAGAAGTGCTCTGCAAAAGGGACAGCATTGCATGGACGAGAACAGAGGCAAGAGTTGAGCAATCACAGTTCTGTCCTGAACTGGGGTGGGGGGAGAGAGCTGAGGGAATGTTTCAGAAATCAGCCTGGGGACCAATTGTTCTATGCCTCTCTCTTGTACTATTTGGACACAACTGGAGAAGGCAGAAGTTCATCAGATGATGAAGTTGCCACAATGAAAGTCAGAGAGGGTCTTGGTCAGAGTTAGGACAAAAGTATCGTCCTTGTCATTCTTCATCATTGGCTCTAGTGCCAAGACAGTAGACATGCCAACTGTCTTGGAGCTTGTCCCAGAGCTAGGTCCATGTCTAACTCATGGGTTTAGCTCTCTGCAATTTCATCCTCTCCCACAGAACCTCCGGCAAGTATGGTCTCAGGCATTCATGGTGTCTTTGGAGCCTGAAGTCTCTTCTGTACGGGGGGACCAATGACAGCAATCAATAGGGCCTTAGCAGGGCACTGTCCTATCAATGTGCCAGTCCTCATGCAGTGTGAGAAAAAGCATCAAAAGGGGCCTCCAGGGTTGGGGTTGTAGCTCAGGGGTAAAGTGCTTGACCTTATGCATGAGGCACTGGGTTTGATCCTCAGCACCATATACACATTTAAAAATAAATAAAGTAAATGTACTGTGTCCATCTTCAACTAAAGAAAAAAAATATTAACAAAGTGTGTGTGGGGGGGGTTCTCCAGGGAGTGAGTGCTGCCTACACCAGGAACTCAGCCCTGCCTGTCACCAGCTCTTCCAAAGATTTCTCCAAAAAAAAAAAAAAAAAAAAACTGTCCTACCCATGGGTTTTCAAGAACAAAGTAGAACAAATTATAATAGCAGTAGCAGAAGCTGCAACAAAACCCAAAGGAATTAGCCCTTGACCTTCTTCTTGCAACAGAAGCTCATTTGTCATTTTTTAGCTAAAGCAAATACAGGTTCCACCTACAACTTTGAATTGCTCCTCTCACCATTGTCAGAATCTAGAAAGTCCAGACCAGCACCATGTCCCAGGAATGTCTCCAGCCTGGAGCTTCTCCAGGGAGGCACATACCTTCTGCCCCATCACCTCCAATTGCCCTTCCTGTTCCTGCCTTGCTGCTTTTCCACTTGCTGGATTTGGGCAAATATTTAGTCTCCAAGTTCTCTTCCTGCCCCATGAATCATTCTGCTATATAGATCTGTATGGAATTCCACTTTCAGGCATCCCTTCCCTGGTGTATGGGCAGCTGTACTTGCCCAGCAGGCTGTGCCCCACCCCTTACCCCTGCAGTGGTGTAGAGTCACCACCTGAGTGATCCTGAACCTTGTTGTGCTTTAAATGCAGGGTAGCATCTCCTGTCCCCACTGCCCTGCCCTGTATGAAGTTTCTGACTCCTTCCTGGGGTGCTCAGTGGGCTGACAAATTCATTACTTGGTTTACAAGCTTGTTTGGCAGGGAGCCAGCAGTCTACAGGCCCCATGTGTCTGTGGGTTTACCAGCAACCACTGCTTTGCAGAGAGGCACAGCATCTTCGTATGAGCAACTCAGCAGAGCAAGAAGCCCCAGCTCCCCAGTCCCACAGCTGAGGTCATTGTAAACACTAGGGAGGAGTTTTCTAAAGGTCATGAAGTGGGGACACAACAGCCACAGCCTGATACCACTTTTGACCTATCTGACACTCCCAGTGCGGTAAGAGCACAGCAGAGGCACAGCCAGGTCCCTAGACTGGACAAAGGTCAGAGGTCAGCCTTGCTCAGACTCTTAGTTGACACTTAATGGTTTATTGGTACATTGGGTCAACAAATGTCAATACCAGCAGTAACTAATGCAGGTAGAAATGGCAACATGTCCTCATGAGGGGCTGGCATTTAGCCAGTTCATTAAAATCTTAAAGAGATTCCATAAAACCTCAAAGCCCTGAAATTTGGGCAAGGGATTCTAAAAAGGCAGCTGTGGACATAGTCTCAGCTGCAGAGGCCACATGATGTTTGTATCTGGAGTAGGAGCATTTACTGGCAAGTGAGGGTGCTGTCCCTCAGATGCCCTGTAAATCCAGAAGTCACTCTGCATGTGAGATGGCCTCTATCATCTTCAGAGGGCAGAGGACCTAGCTGCTTTTGAGGAACGCCCTCCCCTACACTGGAAAAGGCTGGTCCTATGGTTGCGGGGCCTTATTCCTGGTTAATTGTGTGGCCTGTGTGGTAACTTCGGGTGATCTATGGATGTGGCATCTCCCATCATGTTCTCAGTACTCCCTATAGTTCCCTGAGGATATTGGGATCTGATCAAGTGGGGACAACTAAGTAGGGGTACTGCTGAAATTGAGGACACCTTCCGAGGAGGGACACTTGTATGGTGGAGATATTTGGTAAGTTGGGATGCCTGGTGAAGTCCAGAGACCTGATGCAGTAGGGATTCCAGGTGTGGTAGGAACTCTCAAAGAGGTGGGGACAACTGATGTGTTGGGGACACCTGGTGAAGTGAGGATTACTGGTCAAGTCAGAGATGTCAAGAGAAGAAGGGACAGAAGGGGAACATGAGGGAAGTGTAGATAGGTACACTATGGAAGTCTCCAAGGAGGGGAAAGGAGAGCATCTAGAGGAGGGGACACTTCCTAGGCACCTTTATCAAGATGCTATATTGTCCATCAGTGTCACTTCTTGCTTCCTTGCCCTTCTCTAAATTGCTCCTGCCACCTGCTGGCAAATATAGACTACAAAATAAAAATAAAAATACCTTTCAGTTTCCCTAGTACCAACAAAGTGATTAGGGCGATTTCTCCTGTTTTGTAGATAAACTGCTGAGGTGTGAGCAGCCGTTAGGATCCCAGGGCTTCACCTTGATGTCACCATTTCCCATGTGCAAGTGATGGAAAGATTACTTACATCTCCGAGTCTTCATCAATATTGTGGTTGTAGGAAAGTTTTTGTAATAATTAATGAGCTGATTTGAAACAGAAGGGTTTGCCCTCTGTGCAGTCCAGAACAGGGTGCCAGCAGTCCCTTAGGACCTGTGAGAGCCAGGTTGGCTTGTGAATGTGGTTTCTGTCCTCCCATGCTTCTGGCTACTTCTGTGGGGATGGGCATGTTCCCTGCTCTGAACTTTAATTCTCTCACCTCTCATAGGATCTTTGGGAGGATTACCTGAGGTACTGTGTCCAAGCACCCAGGGTAGTGGCTGCCCATAGCAGGGCATAGTCAATGGTGGGTACCACAATCATGAGACTGAGATCTAGGGAAGTGCCAGCTGCCCCTGACACACTTAAAAGATGTCTCTGCTTTGTGACCACTGAGGATCACAGTGAGCTGCTGGGCCATTCAGTTGGTCCTGATCCTTGCACTTCTAATCAACATGGTGCTGCATGTAATCTTGGTGGTTAGCCCTGAATAAAGACTTGGCAGGCCTGGAGGAATTACAGTGAAGGCAGAACCCTTGTAAACTGAGGATCTTCCATCTGGAAAGACAGATGGAATAAGTGGGTCGTCGATCTAGCAGGAGATAGATTGCCTGGCATAGAGGGTCTGGCTTAGGGCAACTGTGATGGTGCTGCTAGAGATGGGTGAGGATATACAGACCGATTCTACTTTTTCATCAAATCTGAAGAGATGCAAGTTTAGACATCCCTGAACAAATACACAGAAGCTCGTTTGATACAGTGGTTCATGATGAGAGATTGGACTGAAACATGGAAAGGAAAAACAAGCTTTACGATGGTCTGCCAAAGACACTAATAGTAACCTCCCCATCTTCTGCACACCTGTCTGGGCCAAGTACTGTGTTCTGTGTCTCAAGAATTCCCCAGCAATCCTATGAAGTGTTCCTTATTTGGTCATCTTGTCCCAGAGAAGAGGTTCAGAGAGGTACATTTGCCCAAGATCAAACAGCTAGAAAATAGCACAATTGGCCGGGCACGGTAGCACACACCTGTAATCCCAGTGGCTGGGATGCTAAGACATGGTGATTGCGAGTTCAGAGCCAGCCTCAGCATTACTGAGTCACTAAGCAACTCAGTGAGACCCTGTTTCTAAATAAAATACAAAATAGGACTGGGGATGTGGCTCAGTGGTTGAGTGCCCCTGAGTTCAATCCCCAGTACACCCCACCACAAAAAAAAAAAAAAAAAAGGAAAAGAAAATAGCACAATTGGATTCAATTCCAGGTTGGTTTGACTCCAAACTCATGGTCTCTAGGGCCAGGTGGCTTTGGCTTTCATTGGGATATTTGGGCTTCTTTTATATATTCTTCAGTAAGGTCTTAGAGTATCTGTTTTTGGACTATCTGTTGTCGAGGTGAATCTCATTTGTTCTAGGAAGACAGTGCTAATGATTTTCAAAATAGTGTATGTTCAAGGTCAAGGGGGAGAGTGGCAGGAGGGGGAGATCACACTCACAAGCCTTATTCCAAGACAGTGGTTCTTACCTTTGTCACATATTGGAATCACCAGGCTGCCTCCCTGATCAATCAAATCAGGATTTCCAGGGCTGGGATGCCAGGATTCCAGGTATCAGGAGTTTTTTTAATGCCACAGGTAAAAAAACCACTATCCTAGAAGGGAGTGTGAGGGGAACAGGATGATGATACTAACAATGTTTGAGGTGAGAATTTAAGCAGTCAAGGATTTTGTAATTCTCATCCTGGGAGACGGTGAGGAGCTGAGTCCCGGGTGGCTCTGTCCTCATTCAACAACCCAGTGAATAGTCCAAATGAATCTCAACTGTAACTACTCATCAGAAAGAAAAGTCATAAGCAAAAAAAAAGCTAAAAGATAACTTTTTGTTAAATAATGAACACTCGTAAAACAGCAATGAAATGGTATTAAAATGTCTTGTGATTACTTGTTTCTCAGCATTCATCTGATAACTTAAGCAGCATGAAGCAAGAGTTGCACTTAAAAAAATGACAAGAAAATAGCTATTCATTTAGTTGACAGAGTAAGGCCCATCTCGTTGCTAGGATCACTAGCATCACTGCTTATGACCAGGGTGAACGCCTGCACGGGTGGCGATTTGAGAAGCACCCACTTGTGTCTTCGTAGCTCCTTTGCCTCGAGTCCCTGGAGCAAACACTGGGCTCATTCCTTAGGAGCCTTGGGAGGGGCTGTGGCCTGTCTCCCCATCTATAGATCAACAGGCCCCAAGATCGCGTATTGCTGGAGGGGAGCTGCTGAGTGTCCTGAAGAGGCCTGGAGCTCTTAGGCTGGGGCAGCGTGGAGGGAAGGAGCAGGACTGGGGACAGAGGCTTGGCATTCTCAAGGCTGGACCCATCTGCAGAGAGTGACAGCTGGGATCTCCTCCTAGCAGTTGTTTTGTCTTTTTTTTTTTTTTTTCCTTCTAAGCCCCATTTTCTTCTGGTAGGGAAGTCACGCAGACTGGGGGACACAGAGGACTCAAGCAGGCCACAGACAGCAGAGTGACATGTTCCCTGCCCTCTGCCTATTGCACCGTATTCCATAAAAAATAAACACATTTTTTTGTTAAACTGTTTGTATATTGCTAATGCGGCAACATTCCAGGCACTGGCAGGCTGCAGAGAGAGCTGCGTTGTCATTAATTCACCAAAATCCATCCAGAGACAGCCTCATGGGTCGGGATCTTTGGAGCTTCCATTTGGAAGAATTAGCAGTGCCCATCTGTCTGGTGCTCTACACAGTGCTGTGAAAATGAAATTAAGGATAAAAACAAAGGAATCCATGGGTAGAAAATTCCAGGGCATTCATGGAGTCGTTTGGCAATCACTTATATTGTACAGCGTCACACAGGTGTGTCTACCCCTGGCCAGCTCTACCCTCTCTGAGCCCACAGAGCCCTGGCCGGGGGCCTTCCCCTCCGTGCCTGCAGGAAGCTCATAGGTGGTTGTTCTTGGAGAGGTAGGCGATGAGGGCGACGGCCACGCCCACGTAGATGCCGGTTCCGATGGTGATGGACAGCACGGCCAGGAACAGGGCCCTCCGGGAGCTGGTGCTAGCCTGGTGGAAGTCCCCCTTGGCCACGGCTTTGTTGGTCTGCAGAATTGGAGGAGAAAAAGGAAATCAAAGTAAGAAAGTCAGAATGAACAGAGAGTGGAGGGCTGGTTTGAGGCCCCAAGAATTTAAGAAAGACTGGAGGGGAATCGCTTACCCTCCATTTCTTCTCTAACTGGCAAGGAAGGGATGTGGCTGATGTTTGGCCACTCTCCCCATACTGCAGGGGAGGCAAAGCCTCAATTCTACTCTGTCCTGCAGGAATAAGTGAGGCTTGGAGTGGGCCAATAAATACCATCAATATGGGGCCTGGGGTCTTGGGGACCAGTAAGCCAGGGATGGGCAAGGCACCACATTCCAGTGCCATTTCTTCTTCGCAAGAATGACATATTTTGTATTTGAATTAACTTAATTTTCTAAAGCGTGTTCACACTTACCTGATTTAGTCTGTATAACCCAGTAGAGATGGGGGGGAAGGGAATTCTAGTTCTCATTTCCCAGAGAGGAAACTAGGGCGTATGATTATTAAATCAATTCCAGGATACTGGAGGTTAACCACTTTTCGTGTAGTTAGCCATCATATGGCCATGACATTGTTCATTTCCTGACCCTGCCATAGCTGGAGTTAGTGAAACTTGTCCACTGTTCAAATAATTGTATATAAGACCAATACCTATACTTATACTTTTGGGCATTCAATCATATAACAAGGTGTTGGCTTAAAATGATTTACATTTCTTGGGGTCATGAGGTGGATGGGAGCATGAAGGTTGGCTGTTGTATTTGATTTGGGATTTTGTGGCAGAACCCATAGACCCATCCCAATTCCTTTCCCCTTCCTTTCTTGTCTTTGCTTTCCCACCTCCCTTGGGGGTGACAAATGTGGCTCAGAAAGATCTCAGTGGATGTCTTTGGCAGAATTCAGGTAAGGATTTTGTTCTCCAGATAAGATATGGGACATATATGGGACTAGCACAACCTCTTCCTTCTACCTTGGGATGTGGATATGATGACTGGAACTGCTGTGATGATCTTGGGTTCAGGAGGTAAGCTGAGAGAATATTAAAGAAGACTGTGCCAATAATACTGTGGAACCTCTGAACCAACATCAGAAGCTGCCAGCCAGAAATTTGTTCTTTGAGGAACATAAGCACTTATCTGCTCAGGTCTCTGCTGGCTGTGTGGTAGCTCCTTGCTAGAAGTAGGGGAAAACTGTAATTCATCTGTAACCATCACGAACAGACCACCAAGCCAATCAGCTCATTTGCCAGACGGAGTGGCGTACTACCAAGGAGCATGATTCCCAGGAGGTTCAGTCAATGCTGAGGTCGGCTAGTCCCAAGCCAGCAGAGTGTCCTCTGTGATGAAGGTAAAGAGCCTACTCCCCTGTAGAATGTAACTTGCTCTCATGGGCCATTCCTGGAAAACCAAATTTTCTCACCAGACCCAATTCCCAAGGGTCATCTGTGACATCTCTACATTTCATAGGCAGGCATAAGAGGACAGGTTGTTCACTCAAACTGAAAATTACCATTACCATGCCATAGACCACAGAAAGACAAAATCAGAGAATGGATTTTCCTATTTCACAATCTCCTGATCTTGATTTATTGAGATCTGGAAGTCTGTGATGTGTTGAGAAGGGACCCCCTCCGCCACCTGTCTTCGTACCCTTGTCCCTAGCTTCTGGATCTTAAAGGCTAGGTTTTTCTTTTTCCTTCCCCAGTATTTTGTCTTGGAACTGAGCTTGGGAACTCACGGCAGACAAATTTTTGATGAAGTAGAGCTGAGGGAATGCGCACGAGAAGCCTCCTAGGACAACCATAATGAATTAATTAAGTCATAATGAGCTGGGGTTGCATTTTAGGTAGCAGTGCTCCCAAACACTCCAGTGTCCTATAACATAATTTACTGTAATTGCCCTTCCTAGTGTTAACTCCAAACAGACACGGTTGATCACAAGTGTGGCTTTGCTGCTGTCACTGCAATTATCACCGTCCTTAGCATAGTCCACCATGAGCCTTGCTGGAGGGAAGGAGGCAAAGGAGGGCCAAGAGCAGGGCGGAGGCCACTTTAGCTGATCACATACCTTCCCACGGAGCTCCTGGGTGCCCGACTTCCCTGCCTCATTAGAACTCATTTAAATAACGACACCTGGAATAGTTGTTTTCTTTGCCCCAGGAGGCAGGGCCCACATCTCCCTTGTCCTTTGGGGTCTTCATGGAGCCTGAGTGAGTGCCAAGGAGGAGTGGCAGTAGGCCACTCGATATTTTATTATGTCTCATTAGTACATTGTAATTGTATATAATTCTCTATTCCTAAACTTCTCTCCTGCATCCCACACAGGCTGTGAAATTTGGGTTTCCCTTGCATGAAATGTGCTGGCTGAGAAATATGGCAAAAAAATTACACGACACAGAAATAATTTTGAAAAAACGAGGGCAGGGCAGCTCTGCAACCTCAGGGGTCCTGCTTCTACACTGGAAGGAGAGTGAGAAGAGCCCGCGTTTGGTTTTTTTAATACAAGAGGCCTTCCAAGGATTCGAATGAAGTGTTCATTTGCCAAATAAGGTTGGAGGGGGGCTGTCCAAGCCCAGTGGGTAATGCCCAAGTCTGGAGCTACAGAGCAGCTTCCTAGCCCAGCGAAGACTGAGGTCACCATATGCTTTGTGTAATAAGCCACAACATGATGTGTAATGCCAGACCAAAATCTCCTTGGCTCCAAGGCCATGTAGAGGCTATTCAGATAGCTCAGGGGTGGCCCCCCACATATAATATTGGGATTCACTGTGACTTATTCATATGCATGCATAACCCAATTTGCTCCATTTCTTTCCCCAGTACTTCCCTTTTACTTCCTCTCCTCCCCGCCCCCATCCTTTTTCTCTGCTCTTCTGGTTTTCCTCTATTTGTTTTTTAAATTGGTGCCTTATAATTATGCATAAAAGTGAGATTCATTGTGATCTGTTCATACATACACTTAGCATAATTTGCTAATTTTGTTCTACGATTACTCTCTTTTCTTTCCTTTCCTCTCTTCCCCTTGATCCTGTTCCTCTACTCTATGGTTCTCCCTTCTATTTTCATGAGATTCTCCCCTGCTTTTTTTTTTTAAATTCCTTTTTTCCTCTCTAATTTCCACACAGAAAACATTTGACCCTTGATTTTCTCAGTCTGGCTTATTTAATTCAGCAAGATATTCTCCAGTTCCACCCATTTATTGGCAAGTGACATAATTCATTCTTCTTTATGGCTGAGCAGAATTCCATTGTGTAAATATACCACATTTTCTTTATCCACTTGTCTGGGACGGGCACCTAGGTTAGTTCCATAACTCAGTTATTGTGAATTGCACTGCTATAAATTGGAATTCAGGTATTGCTATAGTACGCTGAGTCCAGTTCTTTAGAACAACTGCTATGGAAATCAGTATGGAGATTCCTCAAAAGATTAGAAATAGAACCACCATAGGGCCCAGCCATTCTACTCCTTGGTATTTATGCAAAAGGTCAATAGCTATTAATGTGTGACTGAATGCATCTGTTTTACAAGATCACATCCTTCAATGTTCCCAGTTGGTACTGGCTCTCAGTACCTGCTTCTGTTTTTTTTTGTGGGTGCTTAGAAGAGAGGTAGTGGTTTCTCCCATCCCTCAAGCTGAGTTCTGGCTCAATACTGCAAGTTCTGCACACATATAGGTCCAGAGCTCTTCTGCTCAAAGCCAACAGTTCTGAAAATCATGTTCAATTGCTCATTTTCATAATCCACACTGAGGGAACCAACTCTTAATTTTTATGTTCAGTTCCAATAAGAGACACAGATACTTTGTTGTTTGGGCACTATCAGAGAAATGTCAAGAACAGCAAAGAGATGAAGCCTAACAAGCAGGCTGCTTTTCAGCAAGGCTACTCAGTATCTATGTTTTGCAGAAGCAGAGAGCTCCCGGGGTCTAAGCTCCTATGAGGTAGAGTCATCATTGACATTACAGAGTGCATGCCATGACCTAAGGAAGGGGATTGGACCAACTCTTTGTTTCAGAAAATGGGTGACCATGGCTACAAAACAGCTTGCTCATTCCTTTGAGAAGGAGCAAACTAGAAGAAATGCTTCTATCAGTTTCTAGACTAACACTTCAAGCTCTTTGACATGTTTTTTGTTTTTGTTTCTTTTTGCCATGAATCAGGGCAAGAGTTCTTGACCTGGGCACTCAGGTTTATCACCCCTTAAAACCAAAGGCGAGACTGTGTGGAAGACTTTTTATGAGAAGACAGGTCAGCCAAGGTCAGTGGATTCTGCAGGTAGCCTGTGCCCCTGGCTGCACTTGCCCACTGTGTTGGGGAGAGGAGGGAGGAGTGGAGGGAGCAAGGAACAGAAGCAACTAGTATCTCCTAGGGTCAGAGGATCCCAGGTATTTCTTGGCTGGAATAAGCAGATATCATGTACTTGTCCTAATCGAGAGTGTAGACTTGTCTACACCCTGGTCTACACATGAAACCCATAGGGACCTAAGTGAGCATTTAGCAGGTGTTCTGAGAAGCTTGATCTCAGGGTTCTTGGTGGGTATGTACCTCTGGGAACTTACTGCCTGCTGGAAACAGCTTCCCCAGACTTGGTGTCCAGTCCCTTTGGATGGCCTGACATGCTGGCTCTTTATCACCCCCGGGGGTGGGAGGGGAGACTCTTGGGCATCCAGATACCCAGGCTGAAAACTTCCTTCTCATTTTATATGTGTGTTCCTCACTTGTTGGTAAGAAATGCATCATCTCCAAACTTTGTGTCTGAACAAGAACAGTCACAATATGTCTCACAATTTCTGCAGCTCAGGGATCTCATGATGCACTGCTTGGGCGGTTCTGACTTGGGGCTGGACTGTGGTAACCTCAACATCCTCTGGGAGATATCTGCCTCCTGGGGTGTGGAGATTGCAGAGGGTTACTTGGCAACTTTCCCTCCTTCCACAGGGTTCCTCCCAGTGCTGAATCTCAGGGCCCATGTCCCACTCTCCCATATTTCCCTCTGACAAGCCCCTTCTGGTTCCTTCC